AGTAGTGTGCTGAGAGACTAAACAATTTAAGGAAAAACAAATGTTTGAGGGCCAATAGCTCCATTTAAATGCGTGTAGCATGTGCAACAACTATTTGTTAAGCATTGCATTTATAGGAAATCAATGCTGGTAACTTAGAAAAAATCATTATGCTTATTTTAGAAGAAAATGGGATATATTCCAGTGAGTACTTTCCATTATGTGATAGCCGAACTTGGGAGGATATCCCTTCTTGTTGAGTACTTTATTTTCATATACACTACAATTTTGACAGCAATTATTCAGTATCACAATGTTTTTAAGAACTTAAATGAAAAGCAAAATTGGCTTTGTGTGAGCTGCATGATGTTTCATAGGTTTCTGCTGCACAACAGCCATTAGCCATTTTTTTTAAATTGGTGATCACTTGTCTGGTTTTAACTTTATGTAAAGTCTCTCTTACACTTATTATGTGTCTCTCCTGATCATATAAATACATAGAAACAGAAATTTTGGAGAACATGAATACTATAAATTTCAGTGGTCAAAAAGTCTGTAACTCTTGCCAGTAGATTTTTATTTTTTTTTCTTCTTGGGAGCTACTGGCCTCCTCTGTGTGTAAACTTATGAAGCATGTAGTTATGAGGAGTGAGAATCTCTAGTCCTTTGATTTCTTTTTTTCCTTTGGAGCTGCTGCTGAGTCACTCACTGTTACCGACGCAGATAATTTTCACCGTCGTCAGCAACAGTGTGTGTATATAGAACGAGTCACAATCTTGTCTGTCTTGCTGAGCATCATCAGCAGGGCCACCTTATTCCACTTCTGATTATTTAGCTTTAGCATTAATGTGAAGCAGAAATAATGCCACCTGATGGGGCAGCTGACACAGTGAAACATTTTTACCTTTTTTACTTTCCTTTTATATGCAGGAAATTATGAAAAGCAGAAACAAATGTGAACACAGGTTATTAGGGTCTGTATTAATGCCACTTTTTGCTGAAAAATGTGTTACATGGAAAAAAAATATCTGAAGTAACAAAGGCTTTATAGCTGGGACTCCAAAGTTCAAATTGGAAACTGTTGTTGTGCCTTCTGGGAGGGATCATTCACACACTGTATCCACTCCAGCGTGAGAGGCTTCCCTGGTCACTGCTGTGTGAGAGAGAAGTCTTTGTCCAGGAGGCACTTGTGGTAAACTCTATCTGGAGTTCTGCCACTTAACCTCACCCAAACAGCAACGTCAGGAGTCATCAGTCACGTCAGTATTGCTGTGGAGGACATGTTTTTCCCTAATCAATAAATCAATACTATGTATGATCTGATTCTAGTTGGCAATTGTGTGGGATGGAAGCATTTAATCACTCCAGTGTGACATACAAACAAAAGTTCTAGCTACTGTTGGCTTCCACCAAGGCTGGTGGCAGCTGAGGACTTGTAGGAGGAACTTGGCCATGTCCCTTATCTTAATACAAGTTTATTCAACTTTTGCCAATAATCTGATTTTTTTTTTTAAAGGATTGACCCAAAATATTGGGCTTGCAACTTCTTTGCAGGCCCAAATCTGGACTTTCTCTAGGGTTTAGTTAGGCCTATGCCTATTTTATATAAGAAGTTCCCACTGACATATACTCTCCTTCCACTAGAGAAATGCCGGTTTGCACTTCATGTACTCTAAATGAACTGGCTGTATGAAGGTGGTCAGCTGAGGCAGTTGAGATGTTGCACTGTTTTGCATGATCTTGCAAAGAGAAGTTGCTCTTTGAATTTTGACATAGTTCTTTCCTACTCCACTGCATGTAATGCAGAGCATAAGATTCTTAGCATTACTTAGAACTGTTCCCATTTTCTTCTGCTCTGAATATCTTGCACAGCCAGCAAGTATTTGGACTCATTCTCCTAAACATGGAAAATATGCAAGTTTTTAACCTGCTGTGCTCATTCTGGCTATCTTAAATTCCACTTATAAATATGTCTCCATGTAGCAGTGTTACCAGTTCTAGCCATATTCTTTTTTTATGCATCTATTCTTTATCTGTGAGTCATAGCTGAAGTATTAGTCCAAAATACATTTTTGTAGCATGCATGAATTTAAAACAAAAGAGCCCATAAAACCATCCATTGCATATCTCATGGGGGGAGAACAGAAGTGTTAATAATTCTCCCTCTTTGCTTCTTCAATTGTGAAAAGAAATTACAAGTTTAAGTCTGACACAAAGCTGAAGAAAACCACAAATCTTTTCCCTGAAAGTTCAGGGTGACCTGAATCAGGGATCAGAGCTAAATGTAAGCTAGACAATGTTGAGTAACTTGTGAAGTGTATGAAATTAATGTTGATATTTGTCCAGCAAGATTCTCGAAGTCAATAGAAATTGGCATTAAACTTGCTTTTGTGTAGAGATGATTCTTCATAAAAGAGTGTAACTTTTTATCAAGAATGAGACAGTCTGTCAAGAAAACCCAAAAAAACCTTGACCTGAAACATGTTTCTCTTTTTCTTTGGCTTTCAAAAGATGCTAAATTCATAGCAAAGTTTGCATGGCACAGTGGGTAAGTTTGTACAGATCTGCCTGAAATAAAAACCGTAGTTTTATATGTTATTTATTTAAACTCTTTGTTTTTTTCAGGTTTTGGTTTAACTGGCACACACTTCTCATACAACCAATTACTCCATCGTACTAAAATGCAGAACAAGACTCATGTCCCAGTGCAGCCTTCTAAACCTGTGAAATGATTACATTTACCTTTAGTTGTGTTTTCCTTGTTTCCTGCCATCGATATCCAATTTTACATTATATGAGAGTCTTACCCAGTAGATTTCCTACAGGATATTGAAACTTCCTAACTGCTATACTGCAACTTCTGCTGCTCAGGCTCCCCACACAGGCTCCCACACAGTAGGACTGCCAGTGGCCATTTTCTGTTTCCTACTTTTGTGGAATTTTCTGAACTACACTGTGTGGTTTCTGTATTACTTCCTCTACACTTGCCTATTGCCTATTGATTTAATTAATATTTACTCATCTCACCCTTTGCCTAAAAGCAATCTTTTAAAACTACACAATATTCTGTATTTAAGGTAAAGTTTTGCAGCCGAATTCTGGCATATGGTTATTGCTTATCACCTTATTTTAGACTATTTTTTCTAATGCCCTCTGTTTTGGGTGTGCTCATGTTGCAAATGTTAGTCTTTTATTCACTGAAATACAAGGGAAGGCATTTGTGGCTTTTTTTTTTAAACCTGGAGAAGCTTATGTAGGCTGCCTGCTATACAGAATGCTCAAGAAACATTAAATGAAATAACATTAATTTATTTCAGGTACTTATACCTAAATTGAAAGTGTCAATCAGGGATATTTTTTTTCCCAGGCAGTTGCTGCACAAAGTCATATTTCTACAGGGAAATGTCATACTTAAGAACCACTTAAATTTAAATTAGAAGCTTTAAGCAACATCATTCCCCAGGGCTTGTTAATTACATATTTTTGCCAAGTACACATTTAGAGCTTTGTGATTCTCTTATTTTTATATTGGAAACATTTCTTAGTAGAAATTATTTTATCTTTTTCAGTGCTTCTTTGTGATGTCTTCTTCCCACTGAAGCATAGTCTATGCTTTGTTAGTCTAATGTTGCTTGTTTCTGCTGGCAATAGTCTTAGTCCTAAAATAAGATGGGAGTAGTACACAAAGCTACAACATGCTATTGAACAATTTGTCTAAGTTTTGAGCTGACTAATTATAAAGTGACTTTACCTTTATTAGTGTATTGTCTTCTACTATAAATAGTTTCCCATCTAAATCTTAACTACTTACTGGAACTTCACAGCATTCAGCTAACTAGGTTTGGACCATAGGAGCAGTTTCCCCCTAATACGTATAAATAACACGTATCCTTTTTGTTTGCTCATTCTATGTTTTGTTGCAACAAGAGTACAAGTTTTTTAGTGTAGGGTCTGTGCTTCCTGCAGGTCTAGTAATCAAACAAACTCACATGATTGCAACACTTTGAGAGAAGGAATTGCCTGACTGATAATAAATGAGTTTGTCCTGCAGTTTTTTACATCTGTAGAAGATACAAGCAGTACTGATCTGGAAGTGACTGTGGAACTGTTATTATACTTTTTATTGGAAAAATATCAGGAAAACTGCTTTGGTAGATCAAAGAATAAGTTCTCTGTTTTTCACAATACACCATACATTTTTATTTCCCAGCACAGTCACAGGTTTTGGTGCACAGCACCAGTTTCGGCGAGAAACCTCAATTATAATAGTTCTAATTAATTGCCTTCCGTAATGTCACTCAGCTTAGTTTATAGTAAGACCATTACATAAAGTATTCATATATAGATAGGGATAAAGTTGTTGATACAATAAAACAATTTCTAAAGCAAGTGCTTTTGCTATTCTGAGAATTTTATATGCTAAGAGAAAAATGTTTCACTGCTTATGCTATGCTTTTCTGGTGATATTTTGAAGTACAAAACCTCATACTTATAGAAACTCTTCTTGAATCATTTTCCTTTATTAAAATGCTTCATTTAGTAGTTGTATTTTTAGGGATTATATTTCAAATTTGTCAGCAGTTATGCTGCTTGGGATAGTGTCTGACTCCTTTCTTACACATACCATAGGCAAACTGTGGCTGTGGTTATCAGGAAAAGCTCAGTTGGACTCTGATGCACCACTGGTAGAGGCTGTTTGCTCTGAAATGATTATGCATTTCTACTGTTCAGATGTAATTACATAAAGCTGGTTTACTTCATTTAATATTGCATGTATTATCTGAGTTCTGTGAGTAATATTTTCTATCTCTTTATCGAAGTCTTTTATACGAAATTTCAAGTCCATGTTGAAAAAGAAAAAAGGCAAAAGTACCCTTGCACTAAACTCAAGTTTCATTTCCCCAAAGGCAGCATTATGAAGCAAGTACTTCTGATAGCCTGGGAGAGCCTTTATTTTCTGCTCTGACCCATTAGTGTAAGTCTTTTATGTGATGCTAACTGGTGAACTTGGCATTGTACACCACCAGAGTGATGCCAAAGCAGAACAGTCTTTAAACTTGTGTGAGGTCCCCTGTCATTTTTCTTGCAGCTTTTGCCTGGGTTGTGGCCTCATTTTAAATTGAGACTCAAGTTATTTATGTCTCACTTTTTCTTCTCTAGCTGTGTGTTTCAGAGCAGCTGTGCAATGGCACTGAAGTTGCTTTGTTCATGTCAGTGGTAAACTTATTTGTAGTGATGCTGGGGCTTTGGGAGTAAGCACTGGCTCAGTTATTTGTTATAAATTACTGTGTGTGTGGATGAAATCTTTCTAAGGGGCTTTCTGTCCTTTTCGGGGGGGGTGGTAAATTGTGAGTTGTGATCTCTGGAGACTTGCCTGTGTCTACATGGCAGAGACTGACTGTTGTTGGGAGGGAAAGGTTAGTTTTTCTTCTGCTTCATCTGACAGCCCAGCTGCATGAAGTGTGCAATTTTTCTTTCAATCTTAACTCTCTGCTTTGATTAATCTTTCTTTCTCTCTTACAATGCCTCCTAGTCAGAGCAGGTACTCTGTAATATTTGAACTTCCTTTGAAGCTTGAGCCTACAATAATATATTACACTGGTTTATTTTATTGCAGCTCACCCTACTGGTATACAGGTGTAGTGTAGAAGAATTTACTTCCATTTTCCAACAGTAATCATTCTGCTGGGGAGGAAATGTGTGGCATGAACACCTACAGCAGAAACTGATGTTTGAGCAGGGCAGCAGGAGAACCTGCCTGTAAGGAACTCAGCACAGGACCTGGCCTGTGCTTATGGAAACAGGGGGACAAATATCGTAAAGTGATTTATTTCACATGGCAGCTATCTAACTACATATTATATTGCTTTCTTCATACATTCATACAGGGCTTTGGAGGGTTTTGTTCTATTTTTGTAATGGCAATGGGCAGGAGAAGGTATCTATGTAATGTAATTGAGCTGATTATTCAAGTAATCAAAATAGCAAGATGATCCAACTTCTGTGCCTCCTCAAGAATAGTATTTCTAATGCCTGCATGTACATGCTGTTACATACTAAAAGCATTAGAGGGGGATATAGCCTTGACCTGAACTTGACAAGCTAAAAATGACTATAAAGAATCTTACCTGTAGACCTACTTAAATAAAAAACAAACAAAAAACCCCCAACAAACCCCCCAAAAAACCAAAACCCACCATATAAATAAATGTGAATCTTAAGAAAATTTCATAATGAAAATACTCTTTATGTTAATACTGTCCCCTAGTAATTTAACTAGTATTTAGTTATTTGATTTACATCTATTTTGTACAAACCTTGTATGTATATATATGTACATATGCAAGGTCTTTGAAAAACCTTAAATGTATCTTATTTTTCCAATAAATTTTATTGGCATTAAAGGATAGCTCATCTAAAATCTTAGTATTAACATGAATGATAGTGAAAAATTTGGGGCTATTTTCTATTGTCATGTGATGTCCATTATCAGGACACAGTGTATGAGATAATGTCTTTCTAAATTGAAATTGTGCTTTGAGTATCAGTAGCCAGTGACCATTCAAATATTTTTTTACATATTGCAGACACACAAAAAATACTGTCATATTGCTTAAAATGGAAATAAACTTTTTTTTTTCCCATGAACTTGTTTGTTCTATGAAGCTGAAGAAAATATATCAAAACCTCCTTTTGACTTGTACCATTGAAATATTATTCAGGAACAGAATTTGTTGCTTATTTGTTTGCAGTTTTGTGGAATCCTTGAACATGCTTTAAAACACCACTGGAAATATAATGAATATCTGAAGGCACTGCATGCCTTAGCATTGGTTGTTGACTTGCTGGCAAATCTGCCCTTGGATTACCTCAGAGGAACTGTAAAATCAAAG